TTGCCACAGATGATTGTCTACCAACCTTGCACATTTTCTCTTGGCTCAGAACAGTTCAGGGAATACAGCAGACAGAAAGGAGCCTGTCAGACACACGATCTTTTTTAATATCATCCATTCAGCAAAGAATGATTTAGAAAGAAAAGGGCTAGGTCTTATGCTACATGATGACGTCAGTTTCAAGAAAGCAGATGAATCTTGACATGATTAAGCCAAATTAATTTAATGTCCAGTTGGTATTTGGGCTTCGTGGTGTAGGTTGAGATGATCACTCAAAAAAGAAAATATGCTGGGCCCTGCCAGAAGCTGCTGCAAAATGGAGAGGTATTGAAGGATGCAGCAGCAGAGAGTAGGCAGTAGCAACAACAGTGCCCAGTGGGAGCCCAGAAAAGAGTTTGTGGGGGCAAGTGGCATTAGCCATACCTGCTACCCAAACTCTGGAGAGTGGGTTGCAAGGTGAGGATAAATACATGCACAGCAGTTAATGTATGCAGGAGGGAAGATTTGTACAAACTTCTCTCCTAGAGGGTAGTTCCCTCAGTGATGTCTCTGGAGATCACACTAGTTTTCTCCCCTGATCTGTCTGATGCCAAGTTGCATTAATGTTTCATAGAATCACAGAATGTTTTGGGTTGGAAGGGACTGTTAATGGTCACCTGGTCTAACCTCCCTGCAATGAGACATCTTCAACTAGATCAGGTTGCTCAGAGCCCCGTCCAACCTGACCTTGAATGTTTCCAGGGATGGGCATCTACCACCTCCCTGGGTGACCTGTTCCAGTGTTTCACCACCCTCATTATAAAAAAAATTCTTCCTTATATCTGTTCTGAATCCACCCGCTTTTAGTTAAAAAACATCACTCCTTGTCCCATCACTACAGGAACTGCTAAAAAGTCTGTCCCCATCTTTCTTATAAGCCCCCTTTAAGTATTGAAAGTCCACAATAAGGTCTTCCCAGAGCTTTCTCTTCTCCAGGCTGAGTAACCCCGACTCTCTTAGCCTGTCCTCATAGGATGGGAGTTCATCCTATTGTTCCATCCCATTGATCATTTTTGTGGCCCTCCTCTGGTCTATGTGTTTCCTATACTGGGGGACCCAGAGCTGGATGCAGTACTCCAGTTGGGTTCTCACCAGAGTGGAGTCGAGAGGCAGAATCAACTCCCTTGACATGCTGGCCACGCTGCTTTTGATGCAGCCCAGGATACAGTTGGCTTTCTGGCCTGCAGGTGCACATTGATGGCTCATGTCCAGCTTTTCATCCACCAGTACCCCCAAGACCTTCTCCACAGGCCTGCTCTCGATGTTTAATTGGACAAATTTGGTACAGAAATACCAAAACATGGCAAGACAGTTTGAGGGACTGCAAACTGAAGTAGCAAAAATTGCAAATGCTACAAGGAAATCTGCTGTCAGCAAAAATTTGTGATTGGAATAATGGAGTCGGGACCTGTGCTCTAATCTCTCCTGTGGGTCTCTCATCACCTAGCAGTGATGAATAAAACCCACTGGCCAGCTAAGTGTCAAGTGTGGCCACCTTCAACCACTGCTGTGACTTAAAGCAGCTAGAGTGGTTTCTGCGCCTGACTCATGATTCCTCTTCAGATCTGCCCATTATTGAAGAGAAACAGAGAAAATGTCCCTGATTTTAATTTTCACTCTGTGAACAAACAACCGAAGTGTGAATATGATGAGTGCCAAATTGCCAGCACAGAACAGCAACTTCTTTTTTCATAACTGTCTTTTTTTTCTTACATTTCTATTGAAGTCATAAACCCCCTTGGGTATTTCCTTATTTTTGTCCCCTTCCTTCCTGTCCCTCCTCTGGAAAGGGTCAGGAAGTCAGTACTCACTGTAAAGAAGCTGCAGATGATTTTGAAATTTTCATGCCACTCTCAGCCATCTCGATTGCCAGTTTTATCTCCATCTTTTTGTACAATGACACAATGCTGGATTTGGGCTGATGTTCCCGAATTAAGATTTTCTTCAAATACTTATTGTCAAACTTCTTAAATCTGCAAAACAGATATTAAAATCAAAGTGTAAAAAATGAAAATGTGTTTTTATTTCTGTGGTACAAGCTGATTGTTATTCAAATGCACACATATATAATTCAGTGGTGGAAACTGAATCCAAATTGGAGGCACCTGTGGACTCCTGAAGGCCTAGTGAGCAGAGACCTTTAGGGGGAGGACGTTTGGCATGGTCTACTGGTCCACAGAGATTGCAGAGCCCACCAGACAAAAGAAAGAAACAAGCTGCAATCAGAGCAAAAAAGAGGGCTGGGTGTGTGTTTGCATATAACACCGCCACATTTGTCAGAAAAGAATATGGCCAGTCTCCACGCTTTTGTACAAATGTTGTACTCTAGTAGGGCATAACAGCAGCAGCTGCTCTTACAGTAATGCTGGCCTATTCAGCCAGACACCAATGAGGCTCTAAATGGCCCAGCAGTTACAGTAGTTTGGGCCCATTATGTTGCTGATAATTTTGAATCCTGACAATTAGAGCAGAGAAAATACATTTCTTTGTATTCTGAATAACGGAGAAATTGAATCGACCACAAAATACTATGTGCTCGCATGCTGCAGATTGTAAAATATCGCTAATGTGCTGCTTAATTTGAATGTGAATGTGTGTGTGTGTGCACTGTGGAACAGGTATGTGCCTTCAGGCAGACGTTGAGCAGAACAACAGCAGATCTTCTTATAAGTTTCTTTCAAAGGAATAGTTTACCACAGCAAGGTAATGTGCTCCCCAATGCTAGGAATAGCACTACTACTTGTACATTTTTTTTCTTAACAAAGGCTAGTTTTTATACATTAATAGCAGAGATAGGTACACAAATATTTCCACTGGCATTAGAGCTCTATTTTTTTTCTACATAGCAGAAAGCCTCCTGGAGTGTCATCACTTAGGCAATTAATTCTGCTATACATGTCTTTAAAGTTGCGTAGAAAAGTCTAAGGAGTGCCTTTTAATAAAATCTGCTTCTATTAAATGCCTTCACCTACAGTGTGTTTTTGAATATGCCCCTGAACTGGAACACTACCTTTATGGCTAATTTGGACAAAATTCTCTTTTCATAGCTGTTGCACAGGTGTGAGATAAAGGCACAAGATGTCCTCACAGACATGTGTAAATGCTGCTATTTCAATGGAATTAATGCTGCAACAGGGATTTGTTTAGTTTATTGACTGCACAGAGAATGGTGTGGTCCCAGTGGATGTCCTAAAGCTGTCTCTGTGATATCACTGGGAGAGCAAAGAGAACTTTTTACATTCATCTTTTACATTACATCATTACTGCTCATTAGGACAAGAGCTGGATGCAAACCAGCTGCCTTCTTCCCACTCGTAATTCCTAATTTCCATAGGGAGAAGCCCAGTCATGAAAGGAGTTGCCGCATGTCCCAACAGACTCCCCCTGGCTGGATTACTGGGGTCCAGAAAGGTGAGACAGAGGACTCCAGCACAGAAGTCTAGGCATATCTAGGATAACTAGGGATAACTTTTAGCCCACAGCATCATGGTAAGATGTTTGTAGGAAAGGAAGATTAAACTCTCCCCACTCTTCCCTTCACTTGTTGCGGTAGTGGCCAACGTGATCACAGGGCTTCCTTGGGGAAAAGGTAAAGGGAATGGCAGCTCAGAAAGGCAGGTCCCCCTCTTCTGGGCAGTGCCTGGAAGAGCCAAACAGCTTCACAAAACCACCTCATCCTGCTTATAGAAGACACAATACAGGTCCTGCGTTTCTGAGTGAAGACTAGTTTGAAAGTATATGCTTATGCTACTGAATATTGAAATTCAACCATTCCCTTCAGTAATTTTATTTTAACTATTACTGAATGCAAAGACCTGTAAGGACAGGTGACTAATTATTTTTGAATCTATACTCACAAACAAGGGATCATATTTGCTGTGGAGGCTTACGACAAAAGTCAGTGAAGCACTGGCACCTTACGTAGCTTCTGTTCTAAACCCAGACCTGAAGGAGCACTGCCATGGATCTAAGATTTACGCCAAAGCTATGTGCACAGGCTGATGTCTGCAGCATGAGTTCTCGAGCTATGTTTTTCTTTCAGAAGGCTTATTTTCTGCTTATTTGTGCAGAAGCAATTTAGCAGGCAATACGTGAGCACTGCACTCCCAAGAGATAATGGTTACTCAGGAGTTCACTTTTTAAAAAGAGATATTGCACACGTCTCCAATATTTTCATACTATTTTAGCTTTACGGGGCACAAGATCAATTTCTCATTCTGTTTACCTGTTGTATTTTACATGATAGATAGATATGTTATTTTATTATAGTACGCTGCAATAAAAGATGCTTACTTATCTCTCAGCTGATAATGACTCCAATGTCCACATATGTCTTCAATACCAGCCTTCAAGTGATCCATCAACTAGACAAACAAACATGGAAAAATTTTAAGTAGCCATTATGAGAAAATAATGTCACCACAACCACACAAATGTTGAGAGGATTTTGAGATTTTTTAATTGGAGGGTGTGAGTTGATTCTGAAAGCACGTACATTTCTCTAAAAATTAAGGCAAAGATCCCACTGTGGCAGCTCCTATGCTTGGCAGCAGTGGCAATATTTTGATGGAGGTGACAAGTCTGTCAGTCTACTATCATCTCACCATCACCCAGTAACGTATAGGCCCAAGTAAGGGACTATGTCCAATAGAAGATGATACTGAGCATCCTAATTGCCTGGTCCTCTTTGTCTACTAGACGAAAAACTAAATTCTTGGTTCTCTCAACTGAGATTTCCTTCTGCATGTGTGACTTCCCTGAGAGGGGCACAGGGCAAGGTACCCTTGCCTTGACAGAAAAGTCCTCTGAGGATTTTGCAAATTGTCATGAGACTGGTAAGTTCATCACTGCTAACTACCAGGAATTTCATTCGTCTTTGGTATGTTTCTAGAATTATAGAAGCAGACAGAAAAATGGCAATTCTTATATACATGTTGTTATAAGTGGTGCTTTTAAACATTTAAAAATTCCTTTCAAGGTTAAGTGTAAAGGTTGAAATAGTAAGAATTAAGCGCACTTCAAATTAAAATCAGTTCAGATGCTCTAATTTTGTTAATGTGTCTGCATGTGCTTAATTTTAAGGCACAGTGTTTCTGTTAATTTCAAATATATTCGCTATTGTGAAAATGAAAGGATGTATGTATATTTTTTGCAGTGTTGTTAAGTGAGTTTGAGCAGCTTTGTACTATTTTATATAATGGTAATTTGAGAGCTAAAGGAAATGTTTGAGAGGGAAAAGATCATTACTCAATAACTTGAAACTAAATTTGCAGACCAATTGTTCAACTCATTTCAGTTCAATAAAACTTGATTAAAGACTTTTAAGGTGTCAATGTGTCTAAAGCCAGTCAAAGGATGGCAACGAAGGTATCTAGCTGGAAAGGACAAGTGCATTTTGTAAATGCTACCTTTATGTTTCTGTCCATCCATGATTGCAAGTATCAAGAAGTAAGGGACCTGCTACACCATGACACTTGTGGTAAGATATTATAATATAATAGGCACTATGAATATAAAATGAGTTTTCATATTTTAGAATATTATGCCCAGGGTTTCCTCCAAATGTTAAAAGCATTCAGTGTCCATATCCACTGAATGCCAGTGTCTCCCTCTGTCCAGCTCTTTTGGAATACCCTTTCTCTTCTTCTTTTTAGGATACCAGCTACAGATAGAAAAAAACTTACTCGCACGTGAATTTCTTCATTGATAGACTCCTTTTTGTTGGTCTTTTTAACATCTAGATATCTGACCAATGGTCCAATTGTGATTCCCTGCATTTGGAACAATGAGTTGAAATGTTAATTATCTTTTAGAAAAAAAAAAAAAAAAGAAAAAAAGAGAAAAAACAGAAAAAAGCAAAAGGATTTAATTTTAATCAATTAGGAAAGCTATGTCTCAGACACAAGAATGATCTATTACTTGTATGGAGACCTACAGAAGAGGATTAAAACTCAAAAACTTAAAAAAAATTACGCACCATTTTTTTTTAAGTGAGATCGTATTTAGCAACATGTTTGTAGGTGTAAAGTAACTGACTCGTTGCCAACCTTCTTCAAAACAGCACTCACTTGAAAGAAAATATTATCTTTGTGAGATTCTTACAATCTTGAAATCTCTTAACTTTCAGAATGAAATATTTGGGGTTTTTTTTCACTTAGAAACCATTTTCAGCTGTTCCAAATTCTTTACTGCACTGCTACAGAACAGCATTTAAGAAAGTAAAATAGAAAAAAAATGTTTTTTCTGAAGCATTCTGGTGGAATATAAGTGCCTAACCTTAAGCGCATAGTGCCCTTTTGGAACCCTAGAGTATCTGAGATATTGGTATGGGAAAACAGAACATGGGATGCAATACCTCCAGAAGATCCAGTTCTTCCAGGCACAGAAGTGTAAGCCAAGTGTAATAAACCAAACATCTGAAGTAGACACCTATTCTTACAAATCTGAATTATTCACTTTATTTTTCTTTAATACTCTTTTACAAAGGATTTCAAAATATTCTCATTTGGTCTCTAGGATGGATGAAGGTAAGAGTAAAAAATTCAAAATCCTTCATAGAACAGGCATGCTGTTTTCTGTTGAGATACACCATGAATAAAGAATGATTCTGTGCTGAAGTGCAAAGTTAAAATGCTTCCGAATTTGGAAGCATTAGGAAGTGCATGTGGAGTGAAAACAAGAGATTTTGAACACAAAGTGCCCTTTTCACCTAATATTTTAGAAGACACAGGTTTTCAATACAGACTTTCTGAAAAAGTTATTTAATAATACCTAAAAAGCCCTGAAAGGGTAATTACACAGTGCAGTGCTAAGTCTGGCCATAAAATACAATAGCTTGTCCTAGTTTAAGAGAAATTCAATGCAATCTTCATTACGAAGCTTTCAGTCACCTCTATTACATGAAAGCAATCCATTAAGAAATACGCTTACTTGGATGAATACAGTGAAATATATAACTACAAGTGTAGCAGTAATGAACAATTTTTTTCTTGGGAAGAGCTTCGCTGGAAGCAAGAATGCGAGAGAGAAGCTGCTGGCTCCTCGAAGGCCACTGTAGGAAATAATGAGTTGGTCTTTGAAGGTGAAGGGATAGGTTCGGAACTTGTTACTGATGTAGAAGAGAGCAAATACACCTAGGAAGGGAAAAAACACAGCTATTATTAATCAAGAAGAAAAAGAAAATATTTAAAGTGAAACAACATCTTGGCTCAGGCAGCTGTTGATAGACCTTTCTTTTCCATTTTTGGTTCTTGTAGCTTCTCTTTGACCAACTGCTGAACTGTGTTTTGTGTGAAATAACCTCCCAGAAAAGACCATGTTTCCTAACTGCTTCAGGCTTTAAATTCACTTATGCAGTTTAGAAGTGAGATTAGGAGAAAAGATTTATTTTCTATATTTGTGTTGCACAGTTCTTCTCCAGAACGTTCTGGAGACTAAACAAACCACTGGATGAGAATTTTTGCTGTGCCTTCCCTTGCAATGTTTCCTGCTTTCTGCACAGTATCTGCCGAAAGTGTTTGAACACTGCTTTACCAACAAGTCCTGTGGACAGGTTCACTGAAAGGCAAAGAGTAATAGCATTTTAATTTTTAATCCTCTGGCTTATTGGGTCTCTAATTCTCTGTTTATTTCTCAAATTTCATTTTGCTTTTAATAAAAGTTAAAATTAATGAGACAGCCTGTGGCTCTGTAAGGACTGCAGCTTTTCTTTACAGAGTACATTCAGCAATTTGCTTGATTTACTCTTAATCTTCTTCATAAGAAAAATGTATCCTATGTTTTGTATGGAAACCATTTAATTACTGAAGTAAAAGCTGACAAATGCTGATAATTACTGATGATATTTTACACAGCTGTCACTGGTAAAATCAGCAGATTATTATAGGTAAGGCAGTATCCATATCCTGTTATGTAGGTTCCTGAATACCACTTTATATAAGAACTTTTTTGGCTACTTATAACTATGCTAGACATCAGCTACTCAGACTGAAACTGCGTATGTGAGGTATCACCCTCAGACCAACTCTCTTTACTTTAGTCAAGCTTCAGAGAAAATGATGTAATCATTTTAGCAAACAAATTTAGCGGAAAATATTTCGGCCTTCCTCTGGAAAGCTCTAGCACTCCCCTTGGTGTTTGAGAGAAGGATGGACATGTGGCAACAAAATAGCTTTTGCACAAGGAGAGCACTTTTTCTGTCTTGTTTGGAAGGATATTCCAATACAGACTCTGAAACTAAGCCTTTAAAAACTTAGAGGCCATTCTTGCTCCAGGATTACCAAGAAAATATTTAATTACTTTCTTTTTGCTGTCAACCCACAAGAATTGTATCACCTCTACTGTTGAGCACTTGTGTCATCCCTATATAACAGAGCTGTTCAGATGCACATACTTGAACCTTCACAGGTTTCCCCTTTCCTCTTTTTTTTCTGGTTATTTACCAGTGCTAATTTTCACCTTCCAAGTCCACTTACCCAAAGACATGTAGTTAACTGAGGTATAAGCATATATATGGGCTTAATCATGGTATTATTTTAATTATGCTTAAAATATTCCATTCTCACCTAATTATAAATTCTGTGCTTGGAGACTGGCATTCAGATTTGTTTAGGGCTTTTCCCCCCTTTTTCTCCATGCGTAAATTTGTGAAATTAACTTGTCAGTAACTTAAGCCTAGTAAATTGGATATTAAACTGGTTATGCCAGTCTGCACAGACTTTTCTAACATACCTTTGCACCAAAAGGTGTCTCTCAGAAGGTTTCCTGCAAAAGCTGACTTACTCAGTGGTGACTTACTCAGTGTCCGCCAAATGAGGCAGAAGATCAGAGTGAAGCAAATGAAGGCCCAGTTCCACTCATGGTTTTTCCCCACTGTAGACACTCCCATGAACACGAAAATCAGGGTCTCGCTGACGCTGCTCAGCATCTTCATGAAATATTTTATTGTGGTATAGGAATTCTGGGAAACATTCTCTTCCACGTATTTTTTCATTGTCACTGCACATGCTGTCATCCTGTACCAGGCAAAACACCAGATATCAGCCACAACCTGGTTTTCTCTTCATTTAAGAACAACCTCAGCCTTCATTACCTGCACTCTCCATCACCAGTCTCTGACCTTCCTGGTATCAAGAAGCATTTTATTTCTTCACTGACTTTAGCTATTTCCTTAGATAGAAGACCATCTTCATTCAGCTTTACAAATCCATTTTGCATACAGGATAAAGGGAGCAAACCAGTCAGCCTTCCTGATGAGGAAGTGATGGTATCATGTTCTAGTTCAAAGTCTGTTTTATCCTGAATGCCAAACACAACCACCAAGCACCAAATATTTGAGTCTCAAAGGGCAAGTCAGTTTTGTATCAGCCTACAGATAGATCGGTTAGAGGGACATAACCTGCCTCTTGGTGATCTTCTCCTTTAAGGTGGTTGTGGGAGAATATGGCGGTAGTTTTGTGCCGGGTCCAAAGCTCCCAGCAGCTCCCTGCCAGCTGGCTGGCAGACCAGCAGGGCCAGGGTAAGCTTCAGGGACTCTCCACCCACAGCAGCCCATTGCTGTACAGCAGTGAGAAATTCAGTTATCCTACAGAAGTGACCTTCCCTCCCCCCATTTTATTTACCCAGGGTGTGGGGAATGTGCCTAAGGAAGCAAAGGGACGTTTTCCACCTCTTCATGGTCAATGAAAACTAGAGCCTTCTTCAGAGGCATCAGCAGCAATCCAGCACAGACACTGGTAGCAATCAGACATAGGAGCAGTCTTTGAGCAGCCATACTGAAGGGGCTTTCCTCTTCCCCCTTTCATTTTCCATAGTCATAGGTAACAGACAGATTGAGTGCTACGCTAGTAACATATGCCATCATCTATCTAGTTTCTACTGATATTATTTTAGTCTTTGGGGGCTTCTTGTTGTGATATTTTTCCAAACTCGTGAATTCAGAGAATGCTGACTGTTCATTAAATAACCCTTTATCTAGTTTCTGCTCATTTAATTTCCACTGAAGAAATCTCAAGGGTATTCTGGTGGAGCTGAGACATTTAGCAGGTCCAAGGACACTCTTAAGACAAGGCCATTAGGCATTAATGTTTAATACTGTTGACTTTCAGAGACACATGCATAATAGACTTTCATGAGCCAAGTGAAAAATGAATGAATTCCTCAATAATTCAGGAGGGTGACAAAAAGTTCCCATCCCTAAAACAAGCAATAATTTCCTTAATGAAGCAGTAAGAATAATAAATCCCAATTATATTAACATTCTTTTATTACTAATAATTTCATGATTCTAATGAAAATAAGGAGCAAAAGAAATAAAGAGCTATGTAGTCTAATGTAATGAATAGGCAGGAAAGCAGTATTTTGGTCAGTGCAGGTAGGAAAGGGTCCATAGGGTATTAGTGCTCACCACATAGTAGGTCTAAACCTGCTCAACTAAAGTCACCGGTCACCTCAGTCAGACCAAATGTATTAGATATGCAAAACATAGTACAAGACTTGTCTGCTTTGTCTAATTGTTCAGAAAAACATATCTCCTGTCTAACTGCTTATTTAATATGGTTAAATATTCAAATATTGCTTCCAAGGGCCGTCCTGCAAAGGTTGTTTTTACAAAGTCAATTCCACTCTGAAGCTGAACAAATTGGGATTGCTCAGCGTGAAGAAGAGAAGGCTCTGGGAAGACCTTATTGTGGACTTTCAATACTTAAAGGGGGCTTATAAGAAAGATGGGGACAGACTTTTTAGCAGTTCCTGTAGCGATGGGACAAGGGGTGATGTTTTTTAACTAAAAGTGCGTGGATTCAGACTAGATATAAGGAAGAATTTTTTTATAATGAGGGTGGTGAAACAGTGGAATAGGTCGCCCAGGGAGGTGGTAGATGTGCCATCCCTGGAAACATTCAAGGTCAGGTTGGACGGGGCTCTGAGCAATCTGATCTAGTTGAAGATGTCCCTGCTCATTGCAGGGGGGGTGTGAACTAGATGACCTTTAAAGGTCTGTTCCAACCCAAACTATTCTATGATTCTATGAAATCAGGGCTTGACAAGCAACGGTGAGTAAATGCACTCTCTCACTTTCATCCTTTTTCCTTCCTTTCTCTTCTGACTCCTTTCCTGCCGCCATCCTCTTTCCTTCCCACGTTACTCACCCTCTCCCCATTTACTGTGGTTGATAGACCTGCCAGCTTTGTCTCTGCAGCGGGCACCTATGCCATCACAGCACTTTCAGGAAGCAGTCCCCAGCATTACAGCAGTATCAAGCTATCCCGACTACATCAAAATATGATATCCATATAGATGAGTATATGCATGACTATCTTCTTGATGTTCTCAGTTGTCTGGTTTTGGCTAGTTTCAGTTCCAGTGATGCTGTTCAAATGTAATGCAATTCCAGTAAATTGTGTTACAGCTGATGTTCACAGCTGTATACAAAAGTGAGAACTTGGACGTGTTTTATTATGTTTTCCATACTCATTACTTCTCATCTCTCTTGTAATCTGATGGTGGTGCTGCTTAGAAATAAATACAGATACAATATTATCAAATCTTTCTCTCATTCTTCTGATATTCTCAGAGCTGGCAGCCAGATGGTGGCAGCACTAGTCATTTTACCCACAGTTTGCAGTATTTTTTCCAATTGGCAAAAATCTAAAAAAAATCAGAGCAGATATGCACTCCTCGTTAGTATACCTATGCCAGTTCAGCCTGTGGGTTTGCTTTTCCTAGTTACCACTGCATTTTACAGGTCCCTTAGAAGCCGTCCACTGCAGATCTCTAGGTCAGAGACTGGAAATGCCTATATTGTACCAAGCTCGAGCAAACCACTTCCTCAAAACAGTGCCATTTCCCTTGAGAGGGCATCCAGAAAGCCATAAGGGATACTCACGCCAAAATGCCTGAGATGTAAAGGGTTTCAGCAGACAAGTATGACAGGTAGCTGAACATGAAGACCAGCAGGGGTTCAATAGCGGAAACGTTGTGGGTGAATCGAGTCATGAGCGCCGAAACAAATCCAAAGACGATGCCAAACAACATGCCACCCAGCCCTACCACGAAGAAGCGAGCAAAGCCAGCAAAGATATCAATGGATTCGATCTCTTCGTACCTGTGCATCTGGGTGAAGGCGATGAAGATGTTATATAAAACCTAGGTGTGAAAATAAGGAGGCAGCAGTCAGACATCTTTCTGAACCTGGCAGGCTTACTCATTTCATGGGACTGGGTGTACGTATGCATGTGTGTGCATAAAATGTGTGTGCATGTGTATGCCTAAAATTTCTTTAGACAGCTCAGCAAGTCCCAGAATTAAGGGTCTGTTAAGTGTCCTGAAAAACAGCAAAAAAATAAAAAAGAAGGCTAGATGGTTCTGTACTGAGAGTAGAACTCTGAGGGATCAAATGCAATTGAAGTAACCGAAAAATACTCATGCTTTTTGTTTTCTGAAGGTAAACTTAATTATTGGCCTTCGTAGCAGATGCTGAAAGCCCAGCTGGGTACCCCACCAACTGCGGGCTCTCCCCTCTGCCTTCTCTTTCTGACTCAGGATGGGGCAGGGCAGCGACTAAGAATCACACTTTTGGATTTAAATCCCATTTAGGTTGTCTGTATGATTAGTAGACCGGGCACACTTCATTAGGTGGACTCTGGAATGTTAAATGTTTTTCAATAGTACTTGACGCATAAAAATCATTATACATCACTGGGAATGGGAAAGGAAGAAGGGAAGGGAAGGGAAGGGAAGGGAAGGGAAGGGAAGGGAAGGGAAGGGAAGGGAAGGGAAGGGAAAATGGTAGCCTCCATTTCATATTGTCTCTAGCTAGATAAATACAACCTCTCTATCCTCATGTATTTTGTGTTTGATGCCATTTAACCTCCTTCACAGGAACTTGGCATCAATCTCAAAGTAGAAACCAAAAACTGTGGCACTCTAAATGGCCTAAAGGCCCTTCACACATATATTTTGACTAGAAAGCTTGAAATTATAAAAATGAAAATAAACCAATGTCAGATTAGAAGAAAGACTGAATTTGCTACATTATATAATTTGATCTGTAAAGGTACTTTCATTTAGTTTAGAGCAGGTAAGTTTACCATACTTCTATTATCAGTAATTTCTATTCCGCAGAAATTTGTGATGAAAAATCTTCAATATATTCTACTTTCATCCGTTTTTTAGAAACTAATAGAAAGTTTCTACAGTAATGAGTGGTGCAGTAATAAAAAGGTCTTAGAGATTGCTGACAGTTGGTTAACATTAAGTCCTGTTGGATCTGTTTACAGATCAATTTTCAAGAGAATTTGGGGAACATCTAAAGACACTAGCTCTCCAAAGCTGTTGCACCAAAGCACTAACTAGTTCAAAAACAGAAAACGGACCAAAATCATTTGCCTTATGTGTTTTTCTTTGGTCTTTCTTCTTCATATAGTTAATTTCAGAAGACTATTAAGAAGATTAAAGCAGATATTTGCAGGTAGAAGAATCAAGCTTATTAGGATAATAATTATTCCCTAGCTACTATCTAATCTTAAATTGCTGCTGGAAACATATGACCTTGAGCTGTCACAAAGGCTGTTCTCCAGAAGGCTTATTGCTAATATTTCTGGGGGACAAACAAAGCACAACAAAATGTTTCATGTGAGAAAATACCCTGAGCTGCTTTTCCCTGGTGATTATGTATGAAATTAAGCTCTTCAGTGGCAGATAAGGAAAAAAGGGTTCATGCCTCCACTGTAAGTAAACCTTACTGTACTTACTATATAACTTTTAATTACAAAGTCTGTTTTCTCTCTGTTCTCCCTTTCTTGCAGACTTTAACCTCTTCGTAAGGCTTGTGAATCATTCTTTATGAATGATACCAAGGCATAAATCTATGCTGACTTATGAATAAAGCAAATTATTTAGTAAGTTTTTCTCTCTTTTCCTAGTTCCTAAAGTGTCTATATGACATAACTGAATTGGCATTAAGATTGAAATTATGCACATACGACATAATTTCAATTTTTTTGTGACATGCTTTGTGAGAGTAAACTGTTCTGTACAACATCCTGCACTGCATCATACAAGCTCCATGTGAACGCTGGTCAGCTAAGATGCATTGCAGTGTTTATGCCTGTAAAGGGCGTACTATACTTCTTTATGTGGTAGGAAAGCCTGAATCAGCTTAGGGTGCCTTTGTTCACTCAGAAAGAAGGGATGGTCCGATAGTTGGCCTCATTTAACAATTCTGAGAATGTCGTGCTTTGGGTTTTTTGGAGGGGACATTACCATGTAGTGGTGTACCACTGGGGGGCTGTTAGAGCTAAGGAAAGGAAGAGAAAGCGTGACACTGTTGCCCACAGGGGACCTCCCCGGGGACTGCTCACTGCTCCAGATACAAATATTGTACATACCATCCACATCAGAAGCATTGGAAAAAAGATTTTCAAGTGACTGCTTTAACCACCAACACAGGCAGCCTCAATAACTCTTTCTTTCTATCCTCTTTCTGACCACATGCATTTAATTTTACTCTAAACACAGTGGGTCAACTTCAACAGCAGGAGCAAAGAATATCTCCAACCTCCTTCCTGGCACCCGAAAAGATCAAGGTGCTGGCCAAAGCCTTGCTCAGCAACAATTCAAATCCCCTCAGATAAAGAAATTAATTTTACTTGGGTGTCCGTCCTGTAGTAGATTTCTTTAACTGCTCTGCTACTGCATACAAAGAAGAGAGGGCACCATTAGAGAAAATAGTCACTGCCACTTCGTTTTGAGCACAGCATGATGTGTAGGTGTTCTCAGTATTTCTAAAATAAAGCCTCAGAGATGAAGCAGCCAGGAGAAATATTCCGTTTCCTGATGCACGCAGGTGCTCAGCTCCTGTGGAGACAGAAATGGTCTGTGTATATGCAGGAGCAGAGCTTCAGATGCCTGAAACACTTTGCAGCAAAATCAAGGTCCTCCACCTGTGTTCAGATTTGAATGAAATCTGCACTGGGTTTACCAGCATCACTGTTTTGAACAGGGCTTTGAAACTCCAATAATGTATGATACATGCCAGGACCAGTCCAGTTGCTGTCTGCACTATTCTGATGCTAACAGTCCACTCAGAAGCAACTGGGAAAAGAAGCAGTTTACAGGACCTGAAACCTCCTTGTTCCATCCACAGACAGGGCCCTACTGAGGAGAATGGGAAAAGGTAAAAATGGTAAAAATGGTAAATATTCACTTTTGTCCCAGTCCTTTAATTCAAAGGCATAACTCCTAAATCATCATTTTAATTCCACAGACTGTTATTTTGAGAATTTTTAATACAAGGATATTGAACTAAATATAGGAGAGGGAGCTATTGTTGCCTCAAATGTAATACACAAGTTCAGCAAAATTCATACCAGTTTTTCCTGTTGGGGAAAAAAATGTTCAAGCTGATAAGCAGACTGGAGAGAACCAGGGAATATTTGCATTTAAACAATAGAAAAATATGTATGCTTAATATATCTTGGTGATATTATCTTTTTAAACACATAGAGGTAACTCAAATGAAACTGTTAAGACAGAAACAGGGAGGAAATGGTAAGATAAGACACCTGAGTTAAACAGCTTTAAAGCCTTTAAAAAAGCAAGCCGGGTATGAGAAAGGAGAAAGCCACCTATTGGGTTCCATCCAGGTGACAAATACTTTAGTATTCTCAAACATGAAGCCAGATAGAGATTTGGAAAACCTGAAT